TTGGCTGGCGGGCAAGAACAGGTGGGCTTTTCATAAAAGCTCCTTGGTCCCCACGTAGATGGGTTAGAACAGAAGATGGGGAAAAAGTCCTTGGTTTGGGCACACAGAGTAAACGCCAAATCAAAGAGCTAGGCGAGGGTTTGCCTTCCTCCAAATGAAATACATATATGTATATTTCATGGTAGAACTTAAAACCCATCTTCTCCAAGCAATGTGATTGTGCCCCCACACACACCTCCTCTATGTGCCAGGAATTGGAGTCCACACCCAAGCAGTGGAACTGGTTGTCTTGGTTTTAGGCCTGTCCTTGCTTTAAGGCATACAAATGGCTCCAAACCTTACTGAACGGAAACCAAACACTAATTAGTGACCATCCATGCACCCCAGATCCACAGTCTTAGACGTACTCTACTAAGACTAGGTAAGGCTAGGGATCAGAGAATGGATACACCCTACAAGACAGTGAGGTGATGTTTGCTTCTTTCGTACACAATTACAGGTCTCAGGACCTGTGCAGAGAGGAACTTTCTCCATCCATGCCTGACAGATGCAGAGAACATGTGAAAGCAGGTGTGTAAGGCTCAAATCATTTCATTACAATTTGGGTTAGCCCACATCGACTGCCTAGGGCAGCCATCTTGCAGAAGTGATATGAACATCCGGGATACACGGGCCAACAAAGGATGGTTAAGCAGTGGAATTAGACATTTAATTGTAGACACTGACACCGCTACTAATGAGTGGCCTGGGGCAACTTTCATGAGTATTAGTGCACTAGAGCGCTACCAGAAATCCTTTGTTGTTCAAACAGTAACAGGAAGGATTCCACAGTGGTGAAATAAGCCGAGGAGGGTCTCCACTGAGCCCTTCTACGGTGATTCTAGGAACACCATAAGGAAAGCCAGCAAGGCGTAACAATGCCCAAGGTGCACATACTCGGCCTCCCTACGGAAAGTGGGCAAAGAGTCCCTTGTTTCTGTTCTGAGAACAATTTTACCCTGGCCACATTTCCGGGCATTGACTTACCTGGAGCACCTGTGTGGTACAGTGGTTAATGTACTTGGCTGCCAACTAAAAAAGGCGATCTATTCAATCTACCCAGGAGCTCCTTGTGGATCATAAACTTTTTTAGGGGGTAGGGGGGCACCCACTGATATCCCCATAGAGGTCTACTCTGAAGGGGTCGCCATCAGTTTGGACTGAATGAATGGCAACTCATTTGTTTTTTGTTGAGATTGGGCTGGGTGGGGACAGGGGGACACGAGGATAGGGTAGTTATTTTTGCTTTTGTCCAAAAGCATTCTTGTTTCCTGAAGCAAAGGATTACCAGATGCCTCGGAAGGAGCATATGGGACAGCAGGGAGGGGGATAAAATGCCCTAGCATACAGCCCGAGGATAAACGGTTATCTTTGGCATTAATCACTGACTTCAATGTGTTTTGCAATTAAGATTTACAGTGCACTTACGCAAACCCCAAACACAGGAATGTGGAAGTACCAAAAGACAGAATAGGAGGGCAGCTGACATTGTCTGAGTCGATACACCTGTGAATTCTCTAAACGGAACTTTGAAAAGGAGCTTTTCAAATGGGAGAAGCTGTTGGTTGCTAAAAACAGTTGGTAACCAGCGGCTCAGCTAAAGAAAGGCTGGTACAACCAGGAGATGTGTTCTGTACAGATTCCAGATGCGAAAACCCTCTGGCACAATTCTCCTCTGTCACAGATGGGGTCGCCAGGACTCAGAAGCAACTTGATGGCATGGCAATAGGTTGGGTCTTTCGAATCGGTGCTATTTGCAAGCATGCAACTTACATTTGCTTAAATGTCCCCATAGAAAGTGAGATTCAGCTGTGTGTCACTGAGGGCAGACATGCTTGCCACAAACAAGCACTTAATGCAGGGTCCATCTCAGAAGAGCGTCCAGCAGAAAACTGCAAGGCCCTTCCTTGAGGACAGTGTGCCTGGAATGAAACTCTGAGATGCTGCCACGTGGGGGCTGAACCGCTCTTCCCCTCCTGGCTGCCTTGCGCAGAACCACAGCGCCCAGGGTAGAAACGGCCTTGAGGAATTCCTCAGCTGAAGCATGACTTCCCCACCTGGTATGGTAGTGATCCAAATTCTTTTTTGATAAACGAAATTCCAGATATCAGTAAAGATTGATCAGTGGTTGGCAGGGTATGGGGTGGGGGAGCGAGTAACCAAGCAACCAATTTGTTCTTGCCGAAGTCTCGGGTTCTGTTTGTTTCTACCTCCTGTGCCCATCTGGGAGTTTGGGTCCCTGGGCTTACTTCCCTGGTTCGCTTACCAGGTAACTGTGGTTAAAGGATCTCAGAAACGCAAACTCACTACCATTAAGTTGATGCCTGCTTATGGTGACTCTATAGGGCAGGGTAGAACTGCCCCTGGGGGTATCTGAGCCGGTACGGCTTTATAGGAGTGGAAAGCCCTGTCTTTCTCTGGCAGAGAGACTGGTGGTTTTGAACCGCAGACTGTGCAGCTAGTAGCCCAACGAGCGACCAGTATACTCACCACCAGGGCTTCTCAGTCAAAGGACAGTTTCTGACTGACGGGAAAGAGGTGCCTTCCACTGCAGGATCAGGTGGCCATAAGCCAGGTGCTGCATGGTGTTGCATGGGTGATAGAGTGGAACACAGCTCCGTGGGGCTTTCATTGGCTCGTTGCTGGGTAATCGATTATGTGGCCTTTCTTCTGGGGTCCAGCTGGGTGGCCTTCACTCAGCCTATTGCTTAGTAGACAAGCTTGTTAACGGTCGGCACCACCGCACTGCCACTCAAAACACTACGGGAGCAGAAAGCCCAAATCCCAGCCTTTCTCCTGCTTAGTTGTTGGTGCTTTTGAACTACCGACCACCTAGATTGCAGGCCCAAACATAACCACTACGCCACCAGGTTTCCACATAGACAGGCCACAGGAAACGATTATCCATTGGGAACAGTCTTCCCAGAAATACTGTGGAAGCCTAGTTTTCCTGCGAGGGAGATACTGGACAGCTGATGGCAAGGTCACTGGTTCAAATCCGCTAGTCATTCTGCTGAAGAAAGAGGGGGCTGTCTGCCCCAGTAAAGATCTAGCATGTCAGTCACCCCATGGAGCTGTGCAGCTCTGTCTTATAGGGAAGCTATGTTAAGGGGACCCGATTTTAACATTGGTAAAGCAGGACATCAGTGATAAAACTCATATCCTGGCGAAATAGCCACATGGCAGCCAAAAACTGTCTACCCTAGCTTGTTGTGCATTCTTTCCAAAAATCGGGACTTTTTTAAAATGCCATGGGATGCAGGAAAATTTGTTAAAAATCGGGACTGTCCCGCCAAAAGCGGACGTCTGGTCACCTTAGGCTATGGGTGAGTTTGGTTTCTGTTTCCATATGCTATGGAAAGCAAAGGGGGCTTAAACGGCTTCTGTAAACTGTGGCCAATCTAATTTAGCTGCTGCTAATTACTTTATTGCCAAGAGTATGATGTGTGTGGCCATTTAACCCAAATAAAAAATGATTTTATTACTTTCCAGCCACTTCCCTTCCCTACCCCTGGGGAGTCAGCTTCATTTGATGAAAGTCTTAATAATTTTGACTAAATGGTGATGCTGACTAAAGCTGGTGAAATTATAAAATATTGAATATTAATGTTAACCACAAGCCATTGTACATTCACAAAGAATCTGCTTTGGGGAATTACAATGCTTTTTCATCATTTGTTTACGTATACACTTTAAATATCCCCCCTTCCTTTTAATTTACATTATCTTTGAAGATGGCAATGTAAGGCAAAGATAAACTTCAGTCTAGACCAGTGGTTCTCAACTTTCCTAATGCCGCGACCCTTTAATACAGTTCCTCATATTGTGGTGACCACCCCCAACCATAAAATTATTTTCGTTGCTACTTCATAACTCTCATTTTATTACTGTTATGAATCGGGCAACACCTGTGAAAGGGTCGTTGACCCCCAAGGGGGTCAAGAACAACAGGTTGAGAACCACAATCCTCCCAGCTGACTCCAGAAATAGTGGAACTTCAATGAAGTGCATATAACTCGTCAGTCACGTTGTCATAAGGATCCTGAGAGGTGAGCTGATGTTGATTTAGCGAGGGCTGCACTAGAAAACAAACACCCTACAAGTGCATGTATGAGGCCAGTAGAACTCTTGGTCATTGGAGGATGAGAAAGTAATCAGCGGGGACAGCAACGCAGGTTCTAGTTGATTCTGTAGTGCCAAATATTGAGAAGGGGAGCATTTTGGTTGGACTACAGCCAAGAGTGCCTGGTCCAATCATTTTGTCTGGTCTTGTGTGCACAGTGTGGTCTTTGGTGGAGGGGGTGGAGGTTAACAAAACAAACCACCTATGTGGAAAGGAGTTCACCTTCTGGTTCAGTGCTGCCTTCCGATTACAAGTCCAAAACACTCCCCACCATCAATCAACTCGATGCCGACTCACAGATTCTCGAGGACAGGGTAGAACCGGCTGTGGGCTTTTGGGGACCAACTCTACACACGAGTAGAACGCCTCATCTTTCTCCTGAGGAGTGGCTGGTGGTTTCGAACTGCTGAGGTTGCAGTTAGCAGCCACATGCCAACTGCTCCTCCTCCCATTACAACTTAGAAAGGCAAAACCAAACGCAATGCTATCGATGGATTCAGACTCCAAGACAAGGCAAGACTTTTAAAATATCCAAGGACGTTCACGAGGGAGGAATTTGAATTGCATACAACGCAGTCTTTGTTTCACTCACACTGCGTCCCAGCTAGGATTGCTTCCTGGAGCACACAGTAGGTGTTCAATAAGAGTATGTCGAATCGTGGATGAAGGAAAGGAGCTGGTCAGAGAGAAGGCTCTTCTAATTCACTCTCATTAGCCTTCATGTCAAGCTGAAGGGATGGTGTTTCAAAAGTTAACTTGAGGTCAGACAGAACGAGAGGCCTCCCGCTGCCATCACCATGACCGTGGTCACCAACATGAGCTTGCCCGCCAGAAGAATATGAAAAAGCAGAGCAACTCGCTTAAGGGAAAGCGCCGAGATGACGGGCTTTCTGCTGCTGCCCACAAGCAGAGGGACTTGGAGACCACGCAGCAGAAGCAGAAAAAGGCAAACACAAAGGAGGACCAGGTAGCTTTGTGGCTTTCTGTCCAACCCTCTTGCCCTCCTCCGCCTGTGTGCCTGGAGCCAGTCCTACCAGGCTCGGCGTTCCTCCTGTAGTGCTCGGAGGTCCAGCACCGATGGATGGCATGCTCTTTGCCCTGAGTCTGCAGCGGGTCCCTTTTGTGCTTCCTTCCCTCCCTCTCCCCCTGGGCCACACTGGGTGGGTGAAGGGGTTACCCCTTCCCAGTGTTCTTTATTCCTGTGGGGCTCACCCCAAAGTATTAAACGTAGCTTTGTAATTCAAAAATAAAAAATAAAAAAGGTAACTTGAGCACAACGTGCTACGACCAGCCTATCTTTAGGAGCCAAAGGATAAAAAGACAGCGGGGCATAAATAACATGCTCATTTTCTTCCGTTTTCAGCACAGAAAGATTTAGTATTTGATTACAAAATGTCTGATGACCTCGACATCAATCGGCAGCATTAGAAGAATCTCAAGGATCAGACTGGCAATGGTTACTAGTCAGTTTACCTGGAGGCAAATCAGCGCTTCGGATCTCAGATTCCCTAACAGAAAAGCTCAAAGATCCCCATCCATTTAATTCTTCATTGGAAGCATGAAAACACAGGAGAAATGAACCCCCAAACCAAACTCACTGCTATGATGGTTCTGACTGATAGCAATCCTGTAAAATCACCAGACACAATGTTGCTATTTTTCAGTCAAAGGTCTCTAATTAGTTTCGAAGCCTTGCAGGTAAGTACAGAGTAATTCAGAACACCACATGCAAACATGGTTTTCCCCACACACCTAATGCACATTAAGAAGTTAATTTTCAAATACACATTGAATAAGCAGCTTCTTCTCCCCTCTTACTGCCCAGTTATTCTTGATGAAGTTACGTGGTTAGAAACTGCAGACAACTAGCTAATTACCACATATGCAATAGGCTCAATAAATTCATCAGTGCATCCTGTGAGCTTTTTTGCTCTACTACTCAGAAGTCCTGATATGTAAACTCAAAAAACCAAACAACACCGACAAGTCATGGCCAACTCACAGGGACCCCAGAGCACAGGGTAGACGCCCCACTCCCACCCCCATGCGGTTCTGAGACAGTGACTCTGTGGGAGCAGGAAGCCTACAGGTAACTTACACACACCAGGGCTCCCCTCCGGTACTCAGAGTAGCTCATGAACCAAAGTCCAGGAACCAAAGGGGATCATCACCTAAATCCCCTGTTGGTAGAATGAACAAAAGAAGAATTTTCTTCTTTATCAAGGGCAAGTTCATGGTAGGGTGCATGCGTGCGTGAGTGCATCTTTCCAGAAATCATATTTCACTAGCCAAAAAGTAGAAAAATCAGTATGCCATGGAATGGTAACGGAAATTCTTCTCATATTTCTTCAAAGAAAACTATCAGCCCCGTTGTGAACTTCCTATCATCCTCCCCATGATCATCACTGCAATCACACAGACGACATCCAGGGGGAATGGAGGAGATGCTCTGACACAGAAAAGGGGCTTATCCAAGGGCGTCTACAGCTTAGACATGATATATGGCTTTATTCAAAATCCAGACGCTTACCACTGTTTCCCCCTTACTATTCCACCGGACCCCTTTAAAATCAGGTGACACAGTCACAGCCATATCTACTATAGGGCACTCATATAAGATAGACATCTCCATTTGAGTGCAGTACATACTGTATCTCATTTAATCTTTGCCACAAGGCTCACTGTATTAATATTCCCATGTTGCAACTAAAGAAACGGAGGACCCGGAAAGCCACATAACAAGGAGGTGGCCCACACCTAGGAAGAGAAGGGATCCGGTTTACAGTTAGGGGTGTGTTGGACCTCAGGACTCTCGTGTGCTCAAAGCGGCACTTGTGCCTGTCCTATCCCGGCGGGTGGGGAGTTATCCGTGTCCGCTTTCCATCACATTTGAAACAGGCTGCCTCTGCTGCTATCTGACTGCAAACAAGTCATTCTCCACTTTGATCAAGGAAAGACTAGAACAGCTTTGTTTTCTTTTTCTTTTTAAGGCTGAGACGTTTAATGATAAAATCTATTTTTCTTTTCCTTATCTCTTTTCTCTTTTGCAACCTAATACACGTCACTTTGTCCCTTAAATAAGGTGCTCTGCTGTTATTGGGAAACCAATTTTCTCTCAAGATTTTATTGCAATATTATCAGGAAACCAGCTACTTAAGCAGCAGGTAATCTTTTATTTCATGCATAATTACCATGCACTATATTTTGATTTGATCCTAATGGTCCTAAGTACATTTTAAACAAACCCTCAACGTGACCAAATGAAAAGCATTTGGCTTCCTCTGTTGCACTTGTGTGGCGATGATAATTAACACATCTTGGGAAATTCCAGCTACATCTGATTAAATCATAACACACCATAAAGGTCTTTACAAAAAATAAGCCTTTGAAGAATCCAGCTGAGAAAATCATGAAAAGAAGAATTATGAGCAAGGAAGCTCATTACAGTTTTGTGCCTGGCACTTAAAGGTGACCCAGCCAAGGGGTGTGTTTAGAATTCAGTTAACTTTCCCAGAATGCATCTGAGTATCTGCGGGAGGAAGGCTGTCTGGATACAAGCTCCATATTTCTCTTCTGTTCTCGGTTCCTGTATTACGCCCAATGGCCAAGGAAATGCTGCTCTTTCCTTAGACCAAAACTTCAAAAGCAGCGGTAATTAAACAAACAGAAAAATCTTTGTGAAGAAAAGACAATCACTGTGTTTTCATGCTTCGAGAGTTCACCTTGGCCAACTTGAAGAGGCATGCTCACGGTGGAAACACCGTAAAATGTGGATATAGACTGAACCAACCAAATTCTGAAAGGGGGGGGGGGGCGCTGAACCAAGCCCAGCAGTTTCCCTTCCCAGGAGTTGAAGTTGCACAAGCTGTTAAGGGCTCGTCACCAAAATGAATGGTTGGTTCCGGGAAGGACCTGGGAGCAGGTCGTGCAATCTATTACGCTGATGGCCCATCGCTCTGCTGTGCCACACAAGGCAGTAGCTGGCTGTGCTCGGCGGCATCTGTTTGTTGCTTGTTTTCGCCGGGCTGGAGGCTCACCACCATACAGCCTGGGCACTTGGTTGTTGCTAGTCGCCCATCAAGTCGACCCTATGCACAACCGAACCATACAGGGCCTGGTCCCGTGCCATCCACACAATAGTTCTTGGGCTTGAACTCACTGTTTCAGCTACCGTGTCGGTCCATCTTGTTAGGGGCCTTCCTCTTTCTCAATGACCCTCCACTTTGCCAGGCATGATGTCCTTCTCCAGGGGCTGGTCTCTCCTGATCATACGTCCAAAGGACGTGAGAGTCTCAGCATCCTTGTTTCTAAGGAGTGCTCCGGCTGCACTTCTCCCCAGACAGATTTGTTTGTCCTTTTGGCAGTCCATGGTACTTTCAATATTCTTCTCCAGCACCATTATTCAAATGCATTGAAATTAATTGCAATGAGTGCTATTACTGTTGTTGTTGCTAATAATAGCAAGGACAACCACCATTAATTACACTTCCCATTAGTGAGTGTCTCGGCACTCGGCCACTGCAGCTTCCCACCAAAGCTCGGAGTCATCATTCCCTTAGAGAAGAGAAACGCAGGGCTGGGTGGTGGAAGGGAATTTGCCACAAATCACACCAGGGACAATACAATTTGGGGGTTCAAACTCAAGCCTGTCTCATCCCAAAGCTCTTCTCAATTGAACACTAATTACTGGGTGGCGATACCGGGTAAGCTAACTTCACGGTCAGCAGTGTAAGCCCACCAAACACTCCATGGGAGAAAGACGAGGCTGTCTGCTCCTGTAAAGATTTACGGCCTCGGGAGCCCCATATTGGGTGGCTATGAATCAGCATCGAGTCAGTGGTAGTTGATTGCAATTAATTTATTCTGTCTTTCGTCAATCAATACATATTTGACTATAAAGGCACCTTCTGTACACAGCTCTCTTCATCATGGGATGGAGCATCACTGTAATAGCCCTCCTGCAATAAGACTGCTCCGAACGAGAGCACAAATACATTCTCCCTTGCTGGCGTGCCAAACAACTTCGGTTCTATGCCACGGTGGTGTGTAAGGGAGGAAAGGAGAGAGGAGAATTTGGCAACTTATTAGGAAGATAAGACTTTCACAACTGGAACAGCAAGGGAATAAAACACCATGCAGCCACACTTCTTCCCTAAAATGGCATTCAGGGAGGGCCAGGTCTGCAGGGAGAAGGGCCATTATGTGGAACCCAAACAGAGGGACAACAGGTTTGTGATCTGCCACCCCACCCCTCCCTCTCCTCTCACACTAGAAACCGCTTTGCTTTCCATCCTCTTTTAAGAGCCCCTAATAAAGAATATGCAAGCTTGACTTGGGCTTCTAATGTGTCTTAACTGAGCCGTTTTTTTCGAAGCACTCTCCCACCTTCAGGCCCTACAGGACTGTTGTGTTGGGCACTGAAGCATGTCGGGCCCCACCATCTATGCACAACGGCATCGATCCCTGAAACGTCTGGGGCCGCTGCAAAATCCCAGTTTAATCTTGATAAAACTGTTTTCACGTGGAAGCTTAAGAAAGCAGTTCTAAAAACCATGGTTGGGGGGAGGTCGAGGGGGGAGAGATCCATGAGGAGCCTGCATAAATTATGAGTGTTTGCTGCTCCAGGCTAGGCTGCCTGGTTGTGTGTGTGCATGGTATGCCTTGGAAACCCTTTATTTGGCTTATTGAATCTTTCCCCCTCCTACAGAGAACTCTGAAGAAATGCCCGGTCTGGTGTGCCCCCCAACCCCTCCAGCATTCAAATGAGTGTGAGTCAGAAGAGCCCTTCGCACAGGGCTCATCTTTTATGTTGAGTGGGGGGTCAGCGACAGGATTGACATGGATCCAAGTTTCCTTGATTAGCTGATTTTTAAAAGGCTAGAAGCAGGGAGCTGCAGTGTGGAGAAGGAGTTCGCCTCTTCTCTTGACCGCCAATGAGCAGGGGAGAATTTTAACAAGGGGCTTAACTCTTACATGACTGCTGGGGCACAGAAGGGCTGGGTACATTTTCCACCTCTGGGGTTTACAGTGTGCTCTACAGTGGCACTCCTAGCATGT